GACTCTCATTTCAAGAGCATAATATCTAAATCTCTTATTTTCAGGTGAAACCAACTCATTCTGTTGGCATATCACCTTATTTATTCACTCAAATAAAGAGTATATACACTTATTCTAAGAAGGTTTTACTCTTTTTTAGATCGTTTTTGCATTTTATTTTTAAAGATCCCTCAGGGAACTTTTAATGGTGGCTACACTGGAAAAACGATCTAGAAATAAGTAAAAATTCTTTAAATTGAATGTATTTACCCTTAAATTGAGCAGGTAAATGAGATAGTTTGCCAATGGAATGAGTATTTTTACTCTTAAAATAAGATAATTAGATAATATGCACTTGAAATAAGACAATTTAATTGAGTTATATTATTTTAAGTGTAAATTGTTTTGTTCCATTGGCAAAATGTCTCTTTTACCTCCTCAATTCAAGAACAAATGCACTTATTTTAAGAAAAAATGACTTATCTAGATTTTGATTTTTTCCATTCTATAAGCTTGGAGGTCAAATTCCCTATTAAATCAGCCTTATCTCATGGTAAAGAAAAAGATGGCCTCAGCCCCTTCTCTCCAAAACGTGCTTACAGACTCATAAACTATGCATGCTCCCTTCTTATCTGCCCCAAGCCTGCTTGTACTGTTCTAATGAATAGTTCATCACCGCTGCGTTCCAGTCATCTATTTTCCTGACTTTAACAACAGACTTGGTGAAAAGCTCTGCAGAGCTCTACCTTTTGCCCAAGGACACAGCGAGACAACAAGATTAGCTGGATGTGCCTGGAAACTGAGCATGTTTCATGACGCATCGGGCATTTCTGCGTGTCTGAGAGTGTGCGGTTACCCCATTGCCGTGGCAATTTGCAAGGCAGGACTCCAGCTCGGTAAATGAGGCGTTTTGGCATCTGCGGTCTCTGCACACCTGTAGGAACACAAGCAGAAAGATCCCAGAGTTACGAAGCTGACGGCAGACACTCCAGCAGGCTTTGATCAGCCGTCTGTTTGCACCCCGGGGCTTCGGGGAACAACTTGTACGCCTGAGGGGATCAGGAAATTACACCAGCCTCTTTAATTAAACGACTGCTTTCACGGATACGCTTTTAGAACTTGTAATGGTGTTTTTATATCAATTTACGACAGAAAAGATTCTGTTCTGAGAAACGCAATTAGAAAAATGGGTTTTTATGCTTTTATTTCTCAAAAAAAAAAAGTGATACAGCTTCAGTATTTTCCCTTCAGTTTTATTCAAGCTGCCTCTGATCACAGTGAAAGGCAGAGAGAGGGAAATAGTTAGCAGGAAAAAACACCAGAAACGTCCATGTTCTGATTAAAGAGGGTATCCTGCTGCCCCTCTCTCTCATTTATGTGCCACACTGCAAAAATTTAAATGTAAATAAGCCATTTAATCTTAAAATAAGTGTGTAACATAATCACTATGGTATTTTATTTTCTTATACATAGTACATTCCAGTGTAGAGATAACAAACTGTTTGGTAGAACAGTTATTATTTCTTTGGTGATATTATTTAAAATCTCCACTGGTTAAAAATGATGCTGTGTATTAAAATGCTGGGGGGTTTTTTTTGGCGAGGAGAAAATTAGTTAATAAAAAGAGGCGTGGGCGTCGGTGTGCGCAGCTTGACCAGAGAGGAAGACGCACACTGTCAGATCTGTGCAGCGGGAGTTTTTGGTCGGTTGTACGGGTATAAATAATAATGGTTTTGTATCGATGCATCGATCCAACAGCCGACGATCCGATGCATCGACACGTCCGCAAAATAATCGATTCATGTTTTTTTTTTTTTTTTTCCTCCGGTCAATTTTATCCATTTGCTCCTGGGTGTAATTCTCCCTCCCGTGCTGCGGTGGCGCTAAACCTATTTTGCCCTCCTACCTCGCTTCCTGGTTATACTCTTACAGCAGTGTGTCGCAGTGAGCTTGACACAGACATTTTTGATTTTTTAACATTGTTTTGTCTTTTGCCTCCCGGCAGGAAGTCATCCTGCAAACTGGATTTTTCGGACCTTCTCTCCCTGGAAGGATCAACTAAGCTTCAAACTGAGCTGAGGTTCCAAACAGGAGGTTTGGATCCACTTTCAACAAGAGATCGTTTGAGCTTCACACTGAGAAAGGGATTCATCTCCTCTACGACCCGTTCAGGTACCGCAGGAAATCTGAGTGGCAGTCAGCTTTCTCCTTTCACCTACAAACAGCCGCATTCTGGGTGGGCGGACCCTCCACCGAATCAGACAAACACTGGAACTACCGCACACATACTGGAGTCAAAGCGTCAACAACTTCTTTGGAAATGTGAGTCAGCAACCAAATCCTCCTCTTCAAGTTCACGAATCAAATTTCCCACTGAGCCTGAACTAACCGCTGTGTCTTCCCCTCACTTTTCAGTTCCGGTTGAGCAGTGTTCAGAGCAACACTGGACTCTCCGCACCATTTCCTAATAAACCTGTTAAACCTTTTCCCTGGTCTCACTGTTTGGTCTTCTGCATTTGGGTCAAAACTTTAGTAAAATCATGACAGAAACGACACTAGCTACGTTTACATGG